CACTGTGGATGAGGCAGAAGGATCACAAGTTTGAGGCCACCTTAGACTACATGGCAATACTCTATCTCTAGAAAAAAAGAACAGAAGAAGAGAGAGAGAGAAAATAGAGAGAGAGAGAGGAAAGAATGAAAGAATGCAAAAGGTTGTTGAAAATTAAGAATTTCAAAAAGAATTGCTATAATTGGCCTTTTGCCTGCAAATGGGTTAAGCAAATAAAATGTGTTTAAATTTATTCATTTAATATTTTGTTTTTAATTAAGAAATAATAATTGTGTATATATATGGGGTAGAGTATAATGTTTTGTTATTTTTATGCATTATAGCTTGATTAAATGAAGCAAGCTAATGTATCCATCATCTAAAAGCCTGAAGTAGTTAAAATGTTCACTAGAGGTCAGAGCCATGATATTCCAGGCCTTAGGTTTGACTTTTGGGAAGTCTAGATAGAGGAAGAAATTCAACTGAGTACAAGCACACAACAAAATTCTGACCTAAGACAAGATGGTAATGCTGGTTTCTCAGAGTGATACATAACTCAAGTTTTTGAAATACTTATTAAAATGAGAGTCTGTTATAACTTACAGTTTTAGTGTTAGTCCTAAATGAAGATACTGTTATCAAGTAATAGACTGATTTAATTTTATGTCATTAAATACATCTTATTAATGATACTTTGGATACTTTGGAATTGTCCTTTTATTGAATATAAAAAGATATTTCTTCTTATTAAAATTAACCTTCATCATCAAGAAAAAAGTTTAATTTTTTGACACTCTATATAATTTATCTCCAAACTCTGATTTCCCCAATGCCAAAATATATATGGAGTTAAAATTAAGTCTATTAGAACTGTCCCTGCTAGGAGGTATTAAAAAACAACCATCTATAACAAGGAATAATATGCTAATAACAAAAATATACCTGTAATCACTCTTATGTGGCAATTAAAACTGTGCAATAAACTAATCAAATGTCTCATATTTCTAATATAAAAACAATTATATTACCCATAGCAAAAGTAGTGTGGGAGCCATCTTCGAAGATGGTATCTGATGATTCTTATCTCTCAATATTTGTGTCTCTTGTTTTCCCTTCCTCATTGAATAGGGTTGTCTTGTGCAGCTAATAAGATACTGCAAAAATCATGATGACTTCTGAGACTAAGTCATAAAAGACAAAACAGCTCCTACCTTGCTCACTGCTGGACCTCTAATTTTAGAGGAAGCTCATTGCCATGTTATGAACACATCCAAATAGCACTGTGGAGATAACCTCATGGCAACTAATTAAGGCCATCTGCCAGTAACTAACACTAGCATTAACTTCCTAGGTGTATGAGTGTGGTACCTTTGAAGCAGGTCCTCCAGTCTAAATCAAGCCTTCAGATGGCCAGCTGCTGGTAACATCTTCATTGCAAACTTGTGAGACTCTAAGCCATAACCATCAAGTTAATCTGCTCCTTTAGTCCTTACCCATAGAAACTGAGATAATAACTTTATTGGTTCAAGCTGCTAAGTTTGGAATTGATTTGTTAATTAGAAATAGATAACTAATAAAGGAAGCAGATATATGAGAAAGCACACAGACTAAGAGACTGACAAATATAAAATGTGTTCTGATGGAAACTTTAAGCTGAGTGCTCTTGGACCAGTTATTTTCAGTCTCTTGTGTCTCATTTTATCATCAGTAAACTGAAGATAGTATATTTTACTTTATAGGGGTCTGAAGAATGAATGAGATAAAAAAATTTAAAGGACCTTGAAAGTGGTTTTTACACAATAAGTATACGTTTCTTTTCTTTAAATTGTGTTGTATTTTACAGTTTCTTGTTTAAAGGGTTTCAAAGCAATTATTTGTAGCACACAGAAAATGGACTTTATGAGGTGCTGAAGAACTGCAGGCAAAGAAAGGGCAAGGCATTTTCAGGCTCAGTCTTTTTTTATTCTTGTATATTTATCTGAATGAAAATCTGGCTTTGAAGATCTTGATTTAAAGGAGATGGGTATTTATAAACATGTCCTTAAATATAGGTAAAAAGATTGTTTTCATTTTTTCTTATTTATATAAGCTTCAAGTAAAAAAGATCTCTAGGAGGAAAACAAAATTCTCCAAACCTTGCAAAAACCTTTACTCCATTCTGATAGCATCTTGCTCCTGGATGGGGTCTCAGGTGTCAAAAAGACAACTCTGAAATATGTTGTATCTGTGGTTACTATGTGTCCATCTTATTCCATTTTTTTCTTTTCCTTCTCTAAGTGAATTAGGAAGTTATCAACCTGAAATGTCTTTACTGTTGGTATTCATCATGGATATTTCAAATTACTTTTGACAGATTCTGCAGGGCCATGACCTATGCTAGGTGCCATAGTAAATGGGATAAATCCATGGACTCTTCATAAAGATTTATAAGACTTCCTGAGTTTAAATTCTAACTCTGCCCCTGACTGTACCAACTTGTCCAAACAACTTAAAAAACATACTGTACTTGCGTTTCTCCAAGAAAATAGATAAGAACAAAAATTGTATCTACCTTACAGGCTTGTTATGAGAATAAAGTTGGTTAATATTTGATGGCAACTTAGAACACTACCTGTCAAACAATAATAGATAGTTTTACATTTTGATGAAGTAAATATTTGAATAGCTTGGACCTTTATGATAGTTTCACTTAGTATAATAACAATAATTCAGCAACCAAAATCTATATTTCTCCTTCATTCTACATGCACTTTTTTTGCTTTGTTATAGTTTTAAAATGAAATTATTTTAATAATATTTTAGAATTTGTATCTTTCCTGAAATACAACTACAAACAATGATGAATATGTACTTCACTCTGAGTTTGTGCCTTTCCCAAATGTGTCTGATTTTCATAGCTGCTAGGTTTTTTACAGGTGAGTGTGTGGTGGAGAGGACATTAATTAGGGACAATCTATTTTTTCCTTGTTAGCAAGTGGTTCTGAACTTCATTGAGAATCTAATAACAGTGATAATTCATCTCACCAGTAGGGAAAAAGATCACTGAAGCAATGACTATGGTCACCAATTGACCCTTTTCTACATTTTTTATAGGTCAAGAAAGTGAATTAAGTGATTATTGTGGCCTTTTTTGGAAATGGTTTCTGAATTTAGAAAAACGAATAAGAGGTAGACCAGGAAAACAAATCCAGAACATCACAAAGTATTGGAAATAAGGTGATCGTTAACAAAGGTGCTCTCATTTGGACTATGTGCAATAATTCTGATTGCTAGCTTCTAATAAAGTAATGCTGCAGCTTAAAACTGACTTTGAAAGTCAGGTACAAAAGTCATTGCTATTTAAATTGTAGATCATGGAGAATCAGAGATTTGGGAGCTCTTGCAAGTATGTCTTAATGGATGGAAGTTTTGAACAGGTGGTATTGAAGCTCCATTTGCCTCACATCTACTAAAGAAGTGTTGTGTCTACAGACATTGCTTCTTAATTGGGCATCCAAGTAAGATTGTATTTGAACAAAAAGTTCCATCATTTTCAAATGGTTCAGAAACACTCTTGTAGATGTTAGTCCATATAGATGATCACAAGCAATATTTTTCAAACTGGATAATCAGAATATGAGGAAGACTATATTGGCAGATATATTGTCTTCTTGGGTGGAATGAGGGTGACCATAAACCAGTTGATCTAACTGATAGTATTTAAAAATATGGGGTCTTCCACAAAGCCACACAGAAGCAAATTTAGAACTAGTAAAAGGCATAAGTTAATTTGTAAAAAAAGGCTAAAATTTGAACAGCCTTAATTACAAAAGGTTACATAAAAAGCAGCTATGAAATTTTAGGTAAAAAGATAGCCAGTTCAGAACAAATAAAATAACTATGAAGATAGCCTTTATTATTAGATTAAATCTTATGTAAAAGTTAGAGAGTTGTCTTCCACAACCTTACATCTTGATTCCAATTTCAAAAAATAATCACCTGCTTGTATTACATTCCTTCTCACACACTGTGGCAATATGCACATTCTTGTGTGGTTTTTATCAGATCTCTGTTCAGACATTTAGCTGAAACTAGTTAAGAATCATGACCTGAGTATGGAAAACTCATACACATATGTTGGACAATATGGGATTATCAATATTTAGGATTTTGAAGTTAAAAATGGCAATTTCACATGGTTCAGCCTAAGATTTTCTTGAATATGTTCCTCCCTAGTTTTGAAGCAAAATATACATTATATAGATGATAGATATCCTCCCTTCTGCATTACATCTTCTAGTTAACCCACAGGTGTCTCATGCTTCCTATATGGCTTGATAAGAGCAGTTGAAGAGGCTCGAATGAGACTGTTGTTTGAACATAAAAGAGAGAATTGTCAGTCTATGTCTTTTCCTTGCTCAATAGCTCTTGCCAAGATTTCGGGGGCATCTCAAGGGCATAACAGTACAGAGCTGAAATTAGAGTAGCCCTAAAATCCCCTTGGTTAGTCCTTTATGTATTTTATTTCCTTTACAGACTCTGTTGTGATAGAGTATCTAAAACACAGTGTTCTATAAAACAAAATGTTAAAACTATCTTGTGGGAGAGTAAGGCAGGTGAAAGGGTTGAGGCTCATTAAGGCAGCCAGGCAGAAACAGCAGCTCCTATTGCTTTTGAAGTGCTCTTGTGGAAGCTATGTGCAAGTCCTTCAGAGGTGGGTTTACCTCCCAAGTAAACGTGGTTGCAAGGAAGAGCCTTGGTGTGCTGGTTCAGAAGGAAGGGAAAAGAAATTTAAAAAATGAAAGGCATCACCGATGGGGAATTTGCAGGAATTTCTGAGATTATATAAACCAATGTGGACATTTCTTCTGGATGCTATTAGCTACTCATCCTCCCATACAGGCCCCTTCAGTCAGCCTGCCCGTAAGGAGGCTGCTGAGAATCATTCAAGCCAGTTAAAGAGATGTCTTAAAGTAGTATCGGAAACACAAACACATTAGCTCCAAGTGCTTGAAACACAGTAATGATCACAAAGCCCTTACTTCTTCTCTCCTTTGTACCATTCAAAGGCTGGAGGCGGCACACCTGCACCTTCACATCTGATCAGTCCACTGCGTCCGGGGGTCACAGTGCCAGATTTAATTTCCTGAATTGTAGGAGCAACTGAAAAGGAAACAAAAAACCTGGTGGGTAAAGAAAAATAATCATAAGCAGAAATATAACATATGTATTTTTTATTCCTTCCATATTCAAAGCAATCCTATGCCTGATAGACTAATGCATCACATATTCAGTGTTTTATGCTTCAAACACAAGACTAGTCATTTTCAGTTTCATTTTTCAAGTTGGACAATAGATGAATGTTCTTGGAGAGTACAGAGTAAATGCAATACATTTTAGCCTTGCTTCCTAGTGGAAAAATAGCGTGGTGAGGGAACACTTCATCTATACTCCAGTCAAACTACATTCCAATAATAGCTTTCATTTATTCAGTGATCACTGGGAACTAGTCCTTGGGCTAGGTGTTTTATGTTCCTGATTTCCTGACCATAATGCTCTAATCTAGCTGGTATTATCCCTATTTTACAAATGTCAGAACTGAATTTCAGAGAGGGTAAATAATTCTTTAAGGTCACACAGCTACTTAGTTGCAGGATTTGTATTTGAAGTTAGCCACGTTGACTCAAGCCTGGGTTCTTTTCAGTATTCTGTGTTTTTTCCTTCCCTTCTCCCACGTGTTGGCAATATAGTAATGTTGTCATGTGGTTTTGACTACCTGGATTCTTTTCTGCTTCCAAAAATTCGATGCTTGTTTTAGGTGTTACTACCTCCATACTCTTCATTGTAGCTTTAGCTAGCAATAGCTTTCCCTTCTCTGGGCAGTTTATCTGAATTTTTCAAACTATATAGTTTCTCTCTTGAATTATAATTATTTATGAATATGCCACACTTCATAGTCAGCACCCTGATGACAGGGTGCACTTATGATTTGTCTTTTCACATTTAGAGATCAGAGCACAGTGTCTAGCACAAAGGGATTTTTTTGTAGCACAGGCATTTCTTTATTTATCAAGTGATTACAGAGCCCTTAATATATGCCATTCATTTCTTAAGGCACAAAGAAAGCCAGTTCCTGACATGATTAAGTTTACATTCTAGATAGGGTGGGACATGAAAAGCCAGACAATAAACAGTGAATATAATACACATACAGCTTAATAAAATGTTAGGAGGTGATAGGTGAGGCTGAGAATGTACCTCAGGAGTACAGTGCTTGCCTAGCCTGGGCTGGGCCTTCAATTTGCTCCCTAGAACTTCAAAAAAGGAAAAAAAAATAAAAAGAAGGAAGTGATAAACAATACAGTAAAACAAAAAGCAAAAACCTTATAGCAGCAAAGTAAGAAGAATTATAGGAAGGAATGGAATACAATTTTATATAGAGTGATCTGAGAAGTCTGCATTGAGAAAGAAAGATTTATGAAAAGGTGGAGATAAGTGAGTTAGCTTTGTGAATATCTGAAGAAAGTTTTCCAGGAAGAGAGAATGGCTTGCAGTATAGCCCTAAGACTAAAGGATTCTTGTTGTTTTGAAATAGCAAGATCAATGTGACTGGAGCAAAAAGAGAAAGCAGAGGGATTAGAGCCAAAGATGAGCAAAGGATGGGGGAATATGGCAGGACCATTTGGGCATGTTATGGTTTTTACTTGTTATTTGGTGTGCTGGGGATCAAACTCAGGGTCGTAAGCATGCTAGGCAAGTGTCCTACCACTGAGCTGCATCATCAGTCCGTGATCTTTTGAGAGAGACTCTCACTGTATAGTTCAAGGCCCAGCTGGACTTGAACTCATGATCTTCCTTCCATGTCTCCTGAGTGTGGGGATTACAGTTGTGTACCATCACGCCTGCCTGAGGATTTGACTTTATTCTGAGTGAAATGATGAGCCACCTCAGAAGAGGGATATAATACTGGGTGATTTGAAAGGATCATTGAGGCTGCTGTCTTGAGGACAGCTTTGTATGAGGGCAGGACAGAAGGAGAAACTTAGGTATGTAACTATTGCAAGTAAGGCAAGAGATATAGATGGAACACATAGGGTGGTTGCAGTGGAAATGATGGAAAGTTAATGGTTCTGGGCTCTATTGTAAAGTGGGAGCCAATAGAATTTGTTTCAACAGAATCTCTCTCTCTCTCTCTCTCTCTTTCTCTTCCTCAATCTCTCAGAACTGGGATTGAACTCAGGACTGGGATTGAATTCAGGACTTCATGCCTGCTAGGCAAGCACTCTACTACTTGAACCATACCCCAGTCATTTTGCTTTTAGTTTGATTTTCAGATAAAGTGTCCCACAACATTTACCCAGTTGGCATCATCTTCCTGTCTCTGCTTCTTGATTACCTGAGATTAGAGGCATTCACCACCATGTCTGGCCCCCAATAGGATTTCTTTACAGAATGAAGTAAGATATTAAAAAAAATAGAAGAGTCACAGGTTTAGGTTCATTAGGTTTAAGTTGCTGGAAGGTCAGTAAGAATGCCAGTTCATGAAGATGGGGAGGAGTACAAACAGAAGATTTTTAGAGGGAGATATAGGAGTTGGATACATCTGCCTTTTCATAAATATTTTTTTCTGCCATGTTTTTAATGTAGTACATATTTTAAATAATACTATGGGAGAGAGTTCAATACAACTGCAACCTTGATGATGAAAATACTTGGTAATTCAGAAATATGACCTAAGTAAATGTGTGCTCTGAATATAGAGGTTTATCGAGAAGGCAATAAAAAAATTACAAGGTTTAATGTTTTTTCAATATGTAGTGAATACAAAAACTGTAGGCACTCCTACAACAGAACATTACCTATTCTCTTAAAATCACCCTAGTAACTTCATCATTTTGTTTCAGGGTGATACTTCATTTTGAAATTATAGCACCTCTAATTCATTGTGGTATTTTTATTCAATTTTTAGTTCTAGAAAAAATTGCAAAGTCATATTTTTATTAAAGTACTTGCTATTAACTTGGTGAAAAATAATGCAAGAAAGTTTACTAAAACATTTGAACGAGAAAACATTTTGAGAGTAATATATGTACGCACATGTACATGCAATTATGTATATGTACATAATATACATATGTACCTGCACCCAAACAACACAAAGATTCATTTCATAACTAACTTTTATGTTAAGCCAAAATCTGTGTCCCTTTTATAAAGCAGTCAAACATACAAAAGATATCTGTAAATAAAACCTCACTAATCTGTTGATTTTTATAACACTGTTTTGCTTGTGAGAGATGCAGGTAAGATTGTCATTTCACCATTGTTCTCACAGACTTTCATCTCCCTCTCTCTGTCACACTAACAGGCTGTAATCTTTTATGATAGCCAACTATTATTGAAGATGAAATAACCGTATGCAACAGGAGATCCATCACAAGCTTCTATTGATAACCTGGTTAGTTTAATTACTCTCTTGCTTGTCAAGGGGGCCATGACTCATTACAAACAGAAGCATGAAATCCAGAACACTACCTGAAAACCCAGGTGTAATGAATTAAAATAAAACTCTAATTCATCATTAAAAGGCTTTTGTACAGTACAGTGTGAATATAGCTCAGCACTACGTGCTTCACAACAAAAGAAAAGGGATATAATCCTGCTACATTGGAGAAACAGGCTGCTGTGATGGACACTGTGAATAGAAAGAACCTAAAATATCATAGGGAAGCATGGATAAACAGCAAATCAATAATAATATGCATAAGAAAATGTCCAAAGAACGTTTTGTGTAGTAGAGAGTTAAAGGACTATGGACTGTGGTATAGTCAATGTGGAGAAGGCATCCTCAGGCAGATTTCATTTTATGGCTACAATTATAAACTTCAACCTAAAGGCTGTATTGATTTTTCTTAAGGACATGAAAATTTGCATTACTTATTCATATTACTGTGCATCTTTTGGAAATGACTCTTTGAGAAGATTCATTCATTTACTTTTCGTTCCTTCATCAGTTCAAAAAATAAATATTTTTATTAGAGATCCCATTAATGAAAAATAATATTCCTGGATTTATGCCGCTAATATAAACTGATATCAACTCAAATGGATATAAAGCAGAGTAAAGGAAAACAGCAGAGCCAGGTATATTATTTTATATGATACTGTTAGAGCTCCTTACTTGTAAGGTAATATTTGACCAGAAAATTAAATGATGTGACAAAAGGAGTCATATGGCTATCTGTAGGCATTATTACAACATGAGGAAACTGTGAGGGTACATATCATGGTTGGGGAGCATACCTGAAGTTCAAACATGTTTAGCAGGTTGACTTTTAGCATGCTGGTTAAAACACAGCAAAAATTGTTAACATGGCTTGAGCAGAATACAGGAGAAGAAGATTCCAGAAAAACATCATGGAGCACACAATTGGGGACCAGATTTTGTACTTTACCATGGTAGCCCATGGTAAAGGCTTTGAATATTATTCCAAGAGTATGAGGTTGGGGAGATTTTGAGTAGAAGAGTGATATTTGACTTAAATTCCATAAAGATTCTTTGACTATTGTGGAGGACACTATCTGCAAAGAGGCAGGAGAGGAAACAGTCAGGACAACTGGGAGACTGGTGTAGTAATCCTTGGTATGATAAGAAAGTCATTGGCCATTCAAGTATGATACATTTGATACATTGTAAGAACCTTTGTAAATGCTACAATGTGCCCCCACCAAGCAGAACAATAAAAAAAGCAGGAATTGAGAAAAAAAATTAAATGTACTCTTGGTCACACTGTACGTAAGTCAACTCCTTTAAGTTGACTAGCAATGAGTGAACATTTTCAGTGAAATTCCAAGTTTCGCCATTCCTGTGATTTTGTGTAAATGAGTTGTATAATCAACCACAGAAATATCTAATTTACACTCAGTAGGTTTCTTTTAGACAGTGCCTCTCTGAGATTGTGTTATCAGTGTACATGTTATGAATCTTTTTCTGGACAGAGTCTTTTTAACACTATGTGGCCATAGAATTCCAAAAGGTTTCATTTGAGCTTCTTGTGGACTTGGTGTTTCTTAGACCATATTCTGAGTGTGTTGGGTTGCTGGACTATTGGATCTTTAAATTCTAGGCCCCCATCTTTGATTGTGTGATCCTTGTTGTTAAC